CTCATTGGCTGACCTAGTTGCCATGTCTACTCATTGGCTGACCTTGTTACCGTGTCTTTTCCAGTCTGAACTCTACACTGGCAGGGCTGAATTGTGGTCACAAGTCAAGGACTTTCTGTACAAAAATTAGAAATTAGTTTCCCTGATTTTTTTTTCTCTCCTACCTGCTCCATCCTTCTATCCTGGGAATCTGGCATTTGGGAACCTTAAAAAGAAAGGCAGATGTTACTTCAACTCCAAACAAAGGTTGTTCTTCTTTTTGCAGTACAATGGAAGACGAGCCAAGTTGGCAGCTTGCGATGGGAATGAAATCGACACCATATTCGTAGATCGAAGGGAAACTTTGGAGCGACAAGGCAGGAAACTAGTGAGTTGACACCAAGTCATAGTTTAACTCTCAAAGACTTTATTGATAAATTTTCCCTTAGTTTTTCCTCTCCTGCTCATCCTTTACAACAAGAATGTGCCAAAATTACTAAGCTGCTAAGGGAAGAGTAGACGCCTATTTTCCACATCAACTGACCCCAAAATGGCCTTCAAAGCAGGAACTACTATCCACCTGTCTTTTATCATCCTATTGGCTCCCCTGTGTGAAAATGCCTGGCTTCCCCGTATTCATAAATTGTTACTAATAATGGTTGCTTCTCACAGAAGCTGATCAGCTCTGTAATTCTGAGGGAAAGTCTTCCCATCATCTGATTTGCCTGAGGTGCCTCATGCTTCCATTTTGAAATTTTCCTCAGCAGCTGGGGCAACAGATAAAGCTGTCCAATTAACACTGGGAGAATCTCAGTTCAAGCTGTCCTACACTTGGAATAAACTTGGCCGAGGCTATCAATCTAGCTATCTTTCTGTCTGAATACCAGTGAGCCACACTTCACTATATTTAAGATGCCTCGTAGCATTGCCGTGGGGATTAAATAGGAGTATGCCTCTGGAAGAATGCTTATTTATTTGTTTAAAGCTTTGTATGTAGCCCCTCATCTTCCAACCAACTCTGGGAGGCTCTCAAGAAGTTAAAACAACGTATAAAATCATATGAGAACCGTAAACCTAAACCTGAGGACAAAAGAAGAAGGGGATGACAGAATGAGATGGCTGGATGGAGTCACCGAAGCAGTAGGCTTGAGCTTAAATGGACTCCAGAGAATGGTAGAGGACAGGAAGGGCTGGAGGAACATTGTCCATGAGGTTGCAATGGGTTCGGCCATGACTTCGCAACTAACAACAACAAACCTAAACCAAATAACAAGAGTTGGAAGGGATCATGGAGGTCTTCTGGTCCAGGTTTCTCCAACCTTGGCCACTTCAAGACTTGTGGACTTCAACTCCCAGAATTCAGCTGAGGCTGAGGAATTCTGGGAGTTGAAGTCCACAAGTCTTGAAGTGGCCAAGGTTGGAGACCCCTGTTCTAGTCCAACCCCATACTAAGTTGGAAGGGACTTGGAGTCCCAAAGATGGTTTTTTTTTTTCTTCAAAGGGGCAACTGGGCTTTCTGGTTTTGCTTTGAATGCATTTCACTTCTCATCCAAGAAGCTTTTTCAGTTCTAACTGGATGGTGAGGGAATGGAAGGATTTATACAGATAGCTGGCCATCTGCATTCTTTTAGCGGGTTGTTAAGGTTACCTGGCGGTTTATCTGTGTTCTCAGGATCACCTGAGTGGTGCAATGGGTGTGGAGCCTTCTTGGAGCTGTTGAAAGGACTGTTGAGGATTGGCGAAAGATGATGTTATATCCCCCCACCCCTCTGTTGAGAGAGGGCTATATTCAATTTTGACACAGATGGACTTTTGACCCCTCTTTCAAACCAGCGGTCCTCTCTGTCCAAAATGTGGACTTTGTCTTCAACAAAACACAGTCCTTTCAACAATTCCAAGAAGGCTCCACACCAGTTTGCACCTATAGAGCTGAGGTGGCGCAGTGGTTAGAGTGCAGTACTGCAGGCTATTTCAGCTGACTGTTAGCTGCAGTTCAGCAGTTCAAATCTCATCAGGGTCAAGGTTAACTCAGCCTTTCCTCCTTCTGAAGTAGGTAAAATGAGGACCCAGATTGTGGGGGCAATAGGCTGACTCTGTAAACAGCTTAGAAAGGACTGTAAAAGCCCTGTGAAGCGGTATATAAGTCTAAGTGCTATTGCTATTGCTAAGAACACAGATAAACCTCCAGATGACCTTAACAACCTGCTAAAAGGATGCAAATGTCCAGCTGTCTGTAAGGAATATAAATCCTTCGATTCCCCCACCCTCCAGTTAGAAGTTGGATGAGAAGTGAAACATCTTCAAAGCAAAACCAGAAAGCCCAGTTGCTTCAGAGGTGAAGGCAGAGGTGAAGAAACTTCTTGGATGAGAAGTGAAACATCTTCCCAAAAAATCCCCCAGAAAGTCCAGTTGCCTCTTAGGGACAACCATGACCTGGATGACTGAGAATCTCCATAGACATCAAGGGACTTGGAGGTTTGCTAATCCAATCTAATCAACTCAGGCAAGGCACCCTGAACAGGCAGGAACCCCTAAACAGAGTCAAACATTGAAAATAAACCTAAAGCTGGTGTCAAGGCAAACGCCTAATATGCAGTCATCTGATTGTCTCTCAGTGCTTGGACGGGAAAGCCAGACCTTCAAAGCTTTAGAGAAAACTAGGAGGAGCGAGGCCTGCCTAACTTCAGGGGACAGAGTGTTCTGTAGGGTTGCTCAGTTGCTCAATGTTCTTGAGAAATCAGGGTAGCGTGCAATTCTAATCAAGTTGCAACTGTAGGGATTTGGACAAGTGAAATTGACTTTCCCGACAGGATAATTTAGGCTCCAAGGCCACCGCCTATTGTTTTAGTGAAGGCGAGGCAATCTTTTTCTCAAAGCAGGAGCCTCTCATCAGCCCCAGACAGTATGGCCAATTTTGATGATATCTGGATGGCAGGGAAGATATTTAATACAGTTGGTCTTTGACAGTTCACTTAGTGACCATTCAACGTTCCAACCACACTGAAAAAAAGTGATTAATGACCATTTTTTTCACGCTTATAACCATTGCAGCAGCCCCATGATGCTCAAAATTTGCATGCTTGGCAACTGATTCATATTTATGACGGTTGCAGTATCATGTAATCACCTTTTGCAACCTTCTGAAAAGCAATGGGGAAGCCAGATTCCCTTAAAACTGTGTTCGCTAACAACTGCAAAGATTCACTTAACAACGGTGCCAATAAATGGGGCAAAATGTATTTAATAAGTGTCTCACATAGCAACAGAAATTTGGGGCTCAATTGTGGCCGTAAGTTGAGAACTACCTGCACCAGAAAACTGCAGTGCCTCTCAAAGAAACGCTCAGGTTTCCTAACTGCAGGAATCTTGAGCAGGGGGTTGGACTAGAAGACCTCCAAAGCCCCTTCCAACTCTTGTTATTCTGTTATTCTTCATGACCTCTTATTCTCTGTGTATCTCAAAGAGGACTGAAGGGGAGCTCTGTAATTCTTCATAGAGTAGAAGCCAGCAAGAGCTCCACATTTTGGGCACAACATAGGATGCACAACCTTCACTAAAACAACCTTCATGCCGTGGTGGCATGGGATTAGAATGCGGTATTGCAGGCTGAGTCACTGCCCACTGCCAGGAGTTTGATTCAAGGTTGACTCATCTTACCATTCTTCTCATGTCGGTAAAATGAGGACCCAGATGGGAGGTAATATGCTGACTCTCTACACCGCTTAGAGCAGGATTGTCAAACTCACGGCCCTGGGGTGCTTAGATCTGGCCCGTGGGGCTGCCCTAGAAACTGCGAAGGACCGGCCTGCGGTGCCTCTTGCCAGTGAAAACAGACCCTGGGAGGGCTGCAGGTGGCCCTCCCGGGCTCTGTTTTCGCTGGAAGAGGGTTGCAGGAGGCTGTTGCAACTAAAAACCAGTTCGGGAGCCTGTTTTCACTGGCAGGGCACTCAGGCCACCAAAGGCACCCTCCTCAACAAGAGTGACATCAAGCTGGCCACGCCCACCCCAGCCCCCTGAGGTCAAACACAACCCTGATGCAGCCTTCAATGAAATCGAGTTTGACACCCCTGGCTTAAAGCACTATGAAGCAGTATACAAGTCTAAGCGCTATTGTTATTTCAGCTATAGTCTCCCTTTGAATAAGAAAGACCTTCCCTTGCAGGGGGAACTAAGTTGTCAGCTCAAGATCAAGGACCGTTGAATGGTGCAAGGCCTAAGGGACCAAACGAAAGGCACATGATGGTTTTATTTTATTTTATTTAGTAATTCTTTGTTGCCAAAGGAAAGCACCCCTGGTTTTGTAGATCGCTCAAGCAAAAAGAAACCTATTCGGAGATCGCAGCGTTTGCTGCTCCATAGGGGTGCTACAGAAAAGTTGGGACCAGAGGTGATTTATTCTGCCGGTTTAGTCTGACCGGTTCGGCCAAACCGGTAGCGGAAATCACAGGTGGCCATGCCCACCCACCCTGGCTTTACGGCATCCCATTTAGGCCCTTGTTTTTTGACAAAGCCCATGCGCAGAAAGTAGAGTGCATGCGTGGATGTGGAGCTTGCACTCACATTTGCGAACAGGTAGGGGAAGGTAAGTTGGGGTGCATGATGGTTGCTCTGTAAGGGTGAGATTGGTTGATCTCATTCCCAGGCCCTGCAGTGCTGTTTCTCTAAGGATGATTCCGTTCAATGTCCCAGTTTTTAGCCCTGTTTGGATAGATCCAGCTACTTGTTACGCGCAAGACATTCATAGGCAGGAAGTAGGTGGGAACTTCCTGTATGTTGGCTGGTTGCAAAGCATGTTTTCCGGTCGTTTGCATTGCTGGCACCATAAAAGTTCCTTTTTTTTTTTTCTTTTCAGGTGATTTGCTGTGAAGGAAATGCAGGCTTCTATGAAGTAGGCTGTATCTCTACTCCTTTGGATGGTATGATCCATCTCCCTCTATTGCATTCTTTTCAAGGAAAAGGAGTTTTAGATTAATTCATTCACTGTTGATAACAGATTTATCTGACAAGTCATATTTGAGGGGCTGTCGCAGAGAAGAGGAGGGGACCAACTTATTTTCCCAAGCACACCAGAAGGCAGGACAAGAAGCAGTGGGTGGAAACTAATCAAGGAGAGAAGCAACCTAGAACTAAGGACAAATTTCCTGACAGTTAGAACAATTAACCAGTGGAACAGACTGCCTTCAGAAGTTGTGAATGCTCCAACACTGGATGTTTTTAAGAAGAGATGAGCAACCATTTGTCTGAAACAGTATAAGGTTTCGTGTCTGAAGCAGGGGGTTGGTCTAGAAGACCTCCAAGGTCCCTTCCAACTCTGTTATTCTGTTGTCCTGGAATTGAATTAAACCAGGGATTCTCCTTAAAATGATTGCAAGAAAATTTGAGTTCACCTTCTAAAAGGTTTTCTGGGATACACCCAAATTGTGGGATATGTTTTCCATTCAGATCCTGTGCTAGGATGCCTGAAAGGTTTTCTCTGTTCCTTTTAAGCTGCTGGAACTCAAGATCTTCCCTCCTAGCCTAGTCTCCCTTCATTTTGGAAATTGCCATTACAAAATCCATTTTTAAGCTGGAAAGGCTGCCTGTATGGCGCCTTAGAAACTGGGCTATGAAAATTAAGTCATTGGGAGAAATCAACCCCATCCACAGAAGTACCATATTTTTCGGAGTATAAGGCGCACTTTTTTCCCTCAAAAAAGAGGCTGAAAATCTGGAAGTGTCTTATACACTGAATTCAGAATTTTTGCCCTCCCAAAACCCTACCCCCTTTGCAAAAATGGCCATGCATAGCCTGTTCAAAGCCTCTTCAAAACCTTGGTGTGTCTTATACTCCGAAAAAATACGGTAGTTCGGTTGGTGCAGAGATTTAATTATAACTTGCATGATCAGCCATTTAATTGATGTTCTATAGTACGTTCAGCTCATGTCTGGATTTCCCAAGCTGAAGTAATGGAGACATGTTCTATCATACCTCTCTGGGTATTACAGCAGAGTGGTGAGGTGGTGTCATAATAGCAGCGTTCTAATATCTCAGGGGCTGCCACAAAGAANCCCCCAAAATAAGACCTCCCTGAAAATATTGCAACACAGCAGCAGCCATGAGGTGACTACGCTCGCCGTCTCTTGCACCTCAAAAATAATAAGATGTCCCCGAAAATAAGGCTAAGCATTTATTTCGGGGGGTCAAAAGAAAATAAAATCCTGTCTTATTTTCAGGGAAACACAGTATGTCAGGAAAACACACTGTCTTTTTTCAGCGAGAATGCCGCTTAAATTCAGTCTTTGAGGGCAGAGAATTCAGAGGTCATAAAAATAGGGGGGGGGGGGGTAAAATAGAACTGAACATACAGGCTAACCGCTTTGAGGAAAGGTTTATAAATATATATTTTTTTGTCGGGGGTGGTGGAAGCTGATGGGATTCTTTCTCAACAAATACTACCTGCCCTAGGTATCCCAAAATCATGACAGAAGAAGGCATCAGAATCGTCCGAGAATGGCTGAAAGCTTCTACACCCATGGAAGAAGGTAACACGTTCGAAACCTAAACCTAACCCCAGATAGGTGACATGATGAGGCTTGCCTTGACGGGCTCCAGAGCTGTTGTGGGTTTAGATGATTCACATTAACCACCCTGTGAAGGAATTCTTGGTCCCAACGCAAGACAGTTTCGGGTACAGGCATTGATTACTCAACAGAAAGGTTCAGAAATGTCAGGCGCGTTTAAAGAAGTCCTGTCCCAAAGATGGATGGTGGACTTAAATCAGGAATGTTGCTCTGATGCTACTAAAATAAAGCCTTCAATGCATGTGTGAGAACTGCAAGAGTTCTTTCCAAAATAGATCCAGATGCAGCTCAGCAGAATGTTTTAACGCTTGGTTTTATTGTATGCTGCCCAGATGGGTGGGTGAGTGTAGGGTGGATGGATGTGGAGGGAAAATAAAGGAAAATAAAAGAAAGGATAGGATTGGATTGGATTGGATTGAATAATTTATTGGCCAAGTGTGATTGGACANGGCAGAACAAGAAGCAATGGGTGGAAGCTACACATAGTCCTTGCTTAATGAGCAGTTGCTTAGCAATCATTCAAAGTTACAACAGGCCTCCCTAGAGCTACTTACAACCCGGTTGCAGAGTTCCAGTGATTGCATTTCTGTGCACTTGGCAACCAGCTCAAGCGAGCGACTGTTTGCAGCATCCTGCAATCGTGTGACTGTGATATTCCACCATTTACTTCCCATTTCTGGCACACACAAAAAAGCCCATTGAAGGATTGCTTCACAACTGTGGTTTTCATTCATCAACCTTTGCAACAAAAGTTGTAAAATCAGTCACAGTTGATCCGCTTAATGACTGGCACCATTTGTGACCATCTTTCCAGACTCAGTTATGGTCATAAGTCACGGATGATCTCTATGGCTGAAAAATCATTACAGCTGCTTTAGGACCCGATAGAGTTGGTGTAGTGTAGGGATCCTGCTTTTTTTTTTAATCCTAGATGGCTTCTTCTTCATCTCCTGCTTGGATTAGAAGACCTCCAAGGTCCCTTCCAGCTGTATTCTGATTGATTGGTGGTTCTTTTTTGTTGTGGTTGGGATTCTAGTTATCACTGATCTTTCGTTTCCAGTTGATTTTTCTCCTTCTGTCTTACAGCTGGATATTCTGTGCTGGGATGGAATCACCCTGGGTTTGCAGGCAGCACCGTGAGTTATTCTGAGATTTATTTCAGATTATTTTTTAGTTCTCCAGTAACGAGTCCCTTAAGAAATTTGCTATAGATCTTTCCATTCAGTAATATATAGGGACGCAGTGGCTCAGTGGCTAAAACGCTGAGCTTGTCGATCAGAAAGGTCGGTAGTTCAGCAGTTCGAATCCCTAGTGCTGCATAAAGGAGTGAGCTCCCGTTACTTGTCCCAGCTTCTGCCAACCAGCAGTTCAAAAGCATGTAAAAATGCAAGTAGAAAAATGGGAACCACCTTTGGTGGGAAGGTAACAGCATTCCATGCGCCTTCGGTGTTTAGTCATGCCAGCCATATGACCATGGAGATGTCTTCGGACAGCGCTGGCTCTTCAGATTTGAAACGGAGATGAGCACCGCCACCTAGAGTCGGGAACGACTAGCTCATATGTGTGAGGGGAACTTTTACCTTTACCTTATTCAGTAACATACTGGCTGTATTGCAAACCAATGAGCCAATCAACCAATTAATATTTGGATCAAAAACATGTAGAAGTATTATTTGCTAGGCTGAAACAATGGACTTTTTGAAGGCTTTTAAAAGAAGGAAGAAGGTAGAGTCCTGCTATTTACATGAAGTAAATGTGAGTCACTTAATTTCCCATTGCTGTCTGTTCTGCCCTGGATATCTTTTGCTTCCTCTTTGACGAAGCTTAACAATAGTAATTGTATGTTTGTTTGGAAAACCCAATAATATTTACTTTTGAAGAGATTTACTTGAGCTTATAGAAGACAAGAAAGAAAGATTGAGAGTCCTTAAGTATACAAATGCTAACATCCAGGGAAATCAACTTATTTTTCAAAGCAGCAGAAGGCAAGACCAGAAGCAATGGATGGAAACTAATAAAGGAGAAATCCAATCCAATCAAAAGAGGAAAAAAAACCCTAAGGTGGCATAGTGGTTAGAATGCAGTACTGCAGGCTACTTCTGCCGACTGCCAGCAGTTCGATTCTCACTGACTCAAGGTTGTTCCATCCTTCCTAGGTCGGTAAAATAAGGACCCAGATTGTTGGGGCAATATGCTGACTCTGTAAACAGCTTAGAGAAGGCTGTGAAGTTGTATATAAGTCTAAGTGCTATGGCTGTTGAACTATTTCCTGACAGTTAGAACGATTAATCAGTGGAACAGCTTGCCTCTAGAAGTTGTGAATGCCCCAACACTGCAAGTCTTTAAGAAGATGTTGGATAGTCTGAAATGGTATAGGGTTTCCTGCCTAGGCAGGGGGTTGGACTAGAAGACCTCCAAGGTCCCTTCCAACTCTGCTATTGTATTGTATAATTAATCAGTGGAATGACTTGCCTCCAGAAGTTGTGGGTACTTCAGTGCTCCAACACTGGTGTTTTTTTTAAAAAAGAGATTGGACAAACTTTTGTCTGAAATGGTATAGGGTCTCCTGCTTAAGCAGCAGTTGGACTATAAGACCTCCAAGGTCCCTTCCAACTCTGTTATTCTGTTGTATGCCCAACATTTAGTCTTTGCCCTTCTACAATGGCGGAATCAATCAGACCTATTCAGTGGTTTACATATCGCTAAAAGTAATGATATTCCCCATTTTGGACATGCACACGCATTTTGGGAAACGTTTCTAGTTTCTTTCCTAGAGGATGGCCATGCATGGATTTATGTCCTAGTTTTTGTAAGGGTAAAAATGTGTGGGCTGATTGAGAATAACAAGCAGGTAGTTAGTAGAGATGGATAATTGACTGTTTTGCTCAAATAAAAAAACAACAACCCACAAGTACTTTTGTTTCTACTTGGAAACCACTTCTGGACTTTGTGCTTGAGATGGGGGGGAAGTGAAACTTTGATTCTGGGTTTTACCGATTAGATAGATTTGTTGTTATAGAAATGGTTAGTTTATATTTAGTCTTAGTCTTTCCCCTCAGGCATGACCTTTCTTCCTTGGCCTCCCTGCTCTCACCAATTTTGTGTTAACTGTTTTCCCCACTTGTCTCTAGGGAGTGCCCCTGCCGCAGAATGAAGCCAATGCCATGGATGTGGTGGTGCAATATGCCATCCACCGCCTGGGCTTCCTTCCTGAAGACATCATCCTCTATGCCTGGTCCATTGGGGGCTTCACAGGTATTAAATAACAAGGCCTAGAAGGAAACTAGAAAACTCCTAGCAGAAGGGAGAAGCGGGAGAGAGAGAGAGAGGCAGTGTTTCTCAACTTCGGCGACTTTTAAGATGTGTGGACTTCAACTTCCAGAATTCCCCAGCCAGCATGCTGGGGTCATTGAGGTCATCTCGTATATCTTTACAGCTGCACTGCAGTCCTTGGCCTGAAACCCCAAGGCCGAATGTAGCTTTCAGCCTGAACTAAAGTTAGACACCTCGAATTTTAGGAGGTGCCCATCTTGAGGGATGCCTCAAGATGGGCACTGCCAAGTTCAGGTATCTAGTCTAGAAAGAGGATCCATTCAGGGGTTTGGTGCCCTACATAAAATATCCAAATACAATCCTTTTCTGTATTAATTATGCTCAATCCATTGATTGCCCCAAATTACCATATTTTTCAGCGTATAAGACGCACCAGAGTATATGATGCAACAAGGTTTTGAAGAGGAAAATTTAAAAAAAAAAACTTTTTGCACTCTGCAAACCTCCCCAAAACCGCTCTTTTTTGTGAAAACGGGCCCATTTTTTTTCCAAAAAAAGGGCATAAATAGCCCTTAGGAGGCTTGTAGAGTGCTCCTGCTGGGGGAGGGCAAAAATAAGCAAAAAATGGCCCATTTTTCATGAAAACAAGA